ATTGTTTTTCTTTCTTATTAAATTGAGGTATAGTTGATTTACAATACTATATTAGTTTCGGGTGTACAACATAGTGATTCACAATTTTTTTAAGTTTTAGAGTTTTTATAAGATATTGGCTATATTCCTTTGTGCTGTACGATATATCCTTGTGGCTCATTTATTTTATAAATGTACATTTACTGTACATCTTACTCCCTTACCTGTATTCTTCCCCTCTCCCCTTCCCTCTCCCCACTGGTAACCACTGGTTTGTTCTGTGTATCTATGAGCCTATTTCTTTTTTGCTATATTCACTAGTTTGTTTTATTTTTTAGATTCCACATATAAGTGATATCATACAGTATTTGTCTTTGTCTGACTAATTTCACTAAGCACAGTACCCTCCAAATACATCCATGTTATTGCAAATGGCAAAATTTCATTATTTTTTATGGCTGAGTAATATGCCATTGCATATATATGCCACATCTTCTTTATCCATTCATCTGTTGACGGACACTTAGGTTGCTTCCATACCTTGGCAATTGTAAATAATGCTGCTGTGAACACCATGGTGCATATATCTTTTCGAATTAATGTTTTCGTGTTTTTTTGGATATACACCCCAGGAGTGGAATTGCTGGATTGTATGGTAGTTCTGTTTTTAGTTTTTTGAGGAGCCTCCATACTGTTTTCCACAGTGGCTGCACCAATTTACATTCCTAAAGTGTATAAGGGTTCCCATTTCTTCACATCCCCACCGATACTTGTTGTTTGTGTTCTTTCTGATGATACCCATTCTGACAGGTGTGAGGTGATATCTCACTGTGGTTTTGATATGAATTTCTCTGATGATTAGTGATGTTGAGCTTCTTGTCCTGTGCTTGTTGGCCATCTGAATGTCTTCTTTGGAAAAATGTCTGTTCACGTCTTCTGCCTATTTTTTGACTGGGTTGTTTGGTTTTTTTTAATGTTGAGTTACATGAGCTGTTTATATATTTTATATATTAACCCCTTATCATCATATCATTAGCAAGTATTTTCTCCCATTCAGTAGGTTGTCTTTTTGTTTACCTATTTTTTCTATGCTGTGCAAAAGCATTTAAGTTTGATTAGGTCCCATTTGTTTATTTTTGTTTTTGTTTCTTTTAGGAGACATATCCAAAAAATATTGCTACAATTTATGTCAAAGAGTGTTCTACCTATATTTTCTTCTAGGAGTTTTATGGTCTTACATTTAGGTCCTAAATTCATTTTGAGTTTATTTTTGTATATGGAATGAGAAAATGTTCTAATTTCACTCCTTTACATGTAGCTGTCCAGTTTTCCCAGGACCACTTATTGAATAGGGTGTCTTTTCCCCATTGTATATTCTTGCCTCCTTTGTTGCACATTAATTGACCATAAGTGTTTGGGTTTACTTCTGGGCTCATTATTCTGTTTCATTGATCTATGTATCTGTTTTTGTGCCAGTACCATACTGTTTTGATTACTGTAGCTTTGTTGTGCAATCTGAGGTTAGGGAGCGTGATAGCTCCAGCTCTGTTCTTCTTTCTCAAGATTGTTTTGGCTATTTGGGGTTTCTTGAGTTTCCACACAAATTTTAAAATTATTTGTTCTAGCTCTGTGAAAAATGCCATTGGTATTTTGATAGGGATTTCATTGAGTCTGTAGGTTGCCTTGGGTAGTATGGTCATTTTAACATAAAATTCTTCCAATCTATGAACACAGTATGTTTTTCCATCTGTATCATCTTCAGGTTCTTTCATCAGTGTCTTGTTGTTTTCTGAGTTACAGGTTTTTTACCTCCTTAGGTAGGTTTATTCCTAGGTATTCTATTCTTTTTGATGCTATTGTAAATGGGGTTGTTGTCTTAATTTCTCTTTCTGATAGTTGTTAGTGTATAGAAATGCAACATATTTATGTATATTAGTTTTGTATCCTACAACTTTACCAGATTCATTGATGAGCCCTAGAAGTTTTTTGGTGCTGTCTTTAGGATTTTCTATGTATATTATCATGTCATCTGCAAACAGTGACAGTTTTACTTCTTCCTTTTCAATTGGATTCCTTTTATTTTTCTTGTGTGATTGCTGAGGCTGGGCAGTCGCTATTGTTTTTAATGTTCAAATTGTCCCATTTTGGCCCATAGTAGCCTTTTTAGGGTAGCCCCTTTTGAAATGACCCAATGAGTCTTTGAGTGCATACTTGCTTTCTGCTATAATAGACATCCCAGGCTACCTTGTACTCTCCTGCCTCAGACTTGGAGTCAGACCTGGTTCTTTTTAGTGGGGAATGTATCCATAAATCAACGTATGGGTACTAGGTCTGCTCATTATTACTAAAGTGTGCTTATTACATCAAGACTCTTCAGTGGATATAATTAGGAAATACATATGATTTTAAATCAAAGGTTCCTATTATTATTACTTCCAATTCAAATTTACAGGGAGTATCTTTCTTGCACCTTTTTGCATTTTGTTTTATATCTTTCCACTTGGAGTTAAAATCTTCTTTCTTAATCACTTTTAATATGTTTACTTTTTGCTTTATTATACTATATATAAAATAGTTTCAGGATTTTTCAGTAAACTACTTAGTAATGTTTAACATTTCTGTCCTTAGAAGGTAACCCACCAAGAAAGCAGTCAGAGTAATATGTTCAAAGACCATCTGAAATAATGTTTTTCTGTGTGGTTATGTTATTATTATGGTAAATATTTTGATTCATTTGTTTCTGGTTGTATTTAATTTTTAAGATTTAATTTTTCTTTCCTCTTTTCTCTTTTATTTTTGGTGTTATCAGCATTTATGTGGTTCAGAAATCAAAACCATAGAGTTGTCTTGCTTCCATCCTTATTCCTTCCACCCCATTCTCACCTATCCCCTTGTTGTCTTCATATTCTTGAAAATTAAACTCATTTAGTGAAGCTTCATTCTCCTAAACAGGGCCTTATTCTCTTAATTGATATTTTAAATTCTTTGTATATTAATAAGTCACTGTTTCTATGTTCAGAATTCCCCAGAAGTTATTAGGTAGTTTCTATAACATTTGGGAGAACATGACATATAACGTCGACATATTTGCTGTATAACTACTTAATATACTGTAACCACAAGAAATGGGAAATTACTCTTCATCTCTTTAGTGTTTATTGAAATTTTAAGCTAGCCAACACTGGCATATTTTAACAAAGCCTGTATAATCTTTGCACTGTGTAATCTTTTTCTTCACCATATAGTACTCATTTTAGAGGAAACAAAAGAACAACCAACTAAGTTATATATTAGATTCTAACCTCAACCCTGTTATTAGTGTACTTTTCAAAGAGAATGGTCATACTTGCTGTCTGTCATTTATTGAAATAAATGATAAATGTAGAAGAAAATGTTAGGTCTCCCCTCAAAAACAGCATATTTTGTATACATTTGTATATATATCTGTATATTCATATATAGATATGTATTTCTGTGCATTTGTGTGTGTGTATAAATATCAGAAAATTTCCTAAGGCTGTCATAACAAATTACCACAAGCTTAGTAACTTAAAACCACAGAAATGTATTCTCAGTTCTACAGGTCAGAAGTCCAAAATCAAGGTATTGGCAGGGCCATGCTCCCTCCAGAGGTTCTGGGGGAGAATCCTCCCTTGTCTTTTCCAGCTTCTGGTATCTCCATGTGTTCCTTGGCTCGTAGCTGTACAACTCCAATCTCTGGCTCCAAATTCACATGGTCTCCTCCTCTCTCTTCTCTAGGTGTCTTTCATAAGGACACTTGTCATTGGATTTAGGGCCTATCTGAATAATCCAGTATGATCTCATCTTAACTCAATTGTGTCTGCAAAGACCCTTTTCCCAAATAAGGTTCCGGTGGTTAGAATAGAACATATCTTTTGGGGTGCCTCCGTTCAGTCCATTAACAAGCACACACATACACACACAGTGGATTCTCATTCGCAGTAGTTATGTTCTACAAAGTCACAGTGAATACTGATTTAGTGAATACTGAACTATTTTTTCTAGGGAAAGTATATATACACATCTCACATAGATTATAATCCTAAATCCTAGAAACAACCTATCCTGGTAGATTGTATTTTCTTTATTTTACAAGAGAGAAAATGATGTTCAGAAGTGGTAAGTGACTTGTCTTGAGGCACGTCATTCACAGGTGCCAGAGTTGAAATTCAAACCCTGTCCACCTGGCCCCAGAGCCAGAGCTTCTTGCACTGCCCTGCCCTGCCCCTCCTGTCCTCATCCTCTGTCATCTCTGTAGGAGCTGAAACAAGAAAGCAGAGAGTCACCTTGTTGGACCTCAGCTGAGAACATGCGTGTGTAGAGCAATTTGAATTTTTTGCTGCCCTGCATATGTCTGCAAATAACTGTGAAAGTGCTGCAATAATTGACTTGCAGGAACAAATAAATTCTAGCGAGTAGGTATATTTGCAAATACAGAATCAGGGAATAATGAGGATCAACTTTATATGTATGTATATATATTTTTTAAATATATTTTGTATCTAATGTAGCTTTGTGGGATGATAGATGATGAAACTTCTGAAAGATTACATAACTCAGTGATCTCATAGCATCATAAGTCAGTGTTAAAAATAGCATCCGTTGGGGACTTCCCTGGTGGTCCAGTGGTTCAAAATCTGCCTTCCAGTGCAGGGGACACAGGTTCAATCCCTGGTCGGGGAGCTGAGATCCCACATGCTGTGGGACAACTAAGCCCACGTGCCACAACTACTGAGCCTGCACGCTCTGGAGCCCACGTGCCACAACTAGAGAGCCTGCAAGCCTCAACCAAGACCCGATGCAGCCAAATAAATAAATATTTTTTTTAAAAAATAGCATCTGTTGGAATAGGGAGTTTAGGTTTAAGTTATTTCACCTCTTAGTCAAATGGCTATGACTTAACACAAAATAGTACAGTTTATTTGAAAGATTTGGGATCAATTTAGTATCAAAGTATTTGTTGAGTGTGGAATTTACTCATGCTGTACTTTTTGTTCTAGGTAGATGTGAAAGTGGACCCCAAGGATTTACGAATAGATACATTTCGAGCCAAAGGAGCAGGAGGGCAGCACGTTAATACAACAGATAGTGCTGTCAGACTTGTCCATGTCCCCACAGGTAAGCTAGTCCTTCTGCTTTTGTACTTTTAACTTTTCTTCACATCTTATAAAACTATTTGGCATTTAGAAAGAGTCTTATGTTGTGTCTGGTTCCTTGCACAAACCCTTTAAAGGTGACACTGGGGTCATGGGTCCGAGGTCCCCAAGGTGTTCATATTCCCTTCTGTTTGGAAAAGGAACCTCCTTGGCTGTGTCTGTTTAAGAGTGAGGTTCTAAAAGCTGAGTGCATGGGTGCCACTTATCCACTAATAAGTTTCAACTGAAGGGCAGTCAGGTGATTAATCGGCTTTTTTATTAGAGCTCTTCAAATGTCAGCATTTGTAGATCTTTTCTCTTGGGTAGTTTTTCTCCTAAGAAGGATCCTCCTCCAGGACACCTGAGAGTAAGGTCAAGGTCTCACCATTCAGTAAGCACACTTTTACTTAATCCTTTTTTATTCAGTTATATGCCTCACACTTGCCTTCCTTTGCACCTATTTAGACTCAAGTCTGGAACTTTCCTTATTTAATTCTCTGAAGACTGTACCTCCTGCTTCCTGCAGATTGAGGGAGGGGACTTGAAGATCTAGTTGTTACATAGACTTTCTGTATCTAGTCCCCAAACTGTCAACCCTGATTTCTGGGGTGCCTCGTTAGTGCCTCAATACCAGAGCCTGTCTGGCCCTCAGCAGGCAGATGGGCTTGGTTCTGGTCAGCACCTCCCTCGACAGGGCGTTCGACCTCACCTTCCTCCTCTCTGCTGAGCCATTTGCCATTCTTCCAGCCTCTTTTTCTTTAATTAATTAATTAAATAAATAATTTTAAATTGAAGTATAGCGATTAACAATGTTTTAGGTGTACAGCAATCCATCCACTTTGTCTTTATATATTGTGTCTGGAGACTACAGTCATCATCTCATTTTATTTCAGATGGAGTTTGTGTTCCTGTTCTTGTTGTTTCAGTGCAATTTATAAAAAAATGTTACTGAAGTATAGTTGATTCACAATGTGTTAATTTCTGCTGTACAGCAAAGTGACTTATTTATAGATATATGCGTTCTTTTTTGGTATTCTTTTCCATTATGGCTTATCACAGGATATTGAATATAGTTCCCTGTACTATATAGTAGGACCTTGTTGTTTACCCATCCTGTATATACTAGTTTGCATCTGCTAATCCCACACTCGCCATCCTTCCCTCCTCCCTCGCCACCACCCACTTGGCAACCACAGGCCTGTTCTCTGTCAGTCTGTTTCTGTTTTGTAGATATGTTCATTTGTGTCTTTTTTTTTTTTTTTGTAAATCACCTGGGCTTTCTTTTTTTATATATAAATCTATTTATCTTATTTATTTATTTTTGGCTGCGTTGGGTCTTGGTTGCTGTGTGCGGGCTTTCTCTAGTTGCGGCAAGCGGGGGCTCCTCTTCGTTGCAGTGCGTGGGCTTCTCATTGCGGTGGCTTCTGTTGTTGCGGGCACGGGCTCTAGGCATGCGGGCTTCAGTAGTTGTGGCGTGCAGGCTCTAGAGCGCAGGCTCAGTAGTTGTGGTTCACGGGCTTAGTTGCTCCGTGGCATGTGGGATCTTCCCGGACCAGGACTCGAACCCGTGTCCCCTGCATTGGCAGGTGGATTCTTAACCACTGCACCACCAGGGAAGCCCTGTGTCATATTTTAGATTCCCCATATAAGTGATATCATATGGTATTTGTCTTTCTCTTTCTGACTTCACTTAGTATGATAATTTCTAGGTCCATCCACGTTGCTGCAAATGGCATTATTCACTCTTTATGGCTGAGTAATATTCCATTGTATACATGCACCACATCTTCTTTATCCATTTATCTGTTGATGGACATTTAGGTTGTTTCCATGTCTTGGCTATTGTAAATAGTGCAAATAAACATAGGGTTGCATGGATCTTTTCAAATTATAGTTTTGTCTGGGTATATGCCCAGGAATGGGATTGCTGGGTCATATGACAACTCTATTTTTACTTTTCTGAGGAACCTCCATACTGTTTTCCATAATGGCTATACCAACTTACATTCCCACCAACAATGTAGGAGGATTCCCTTTTTTCCACACATTCTCTGACATTTATTATTTGTAGACACTTTTTAATGATGGCCATTCTGACCAGTGTGAGGTCGTTTTTGTAGTTTTGATTTTCATTTCTCTAATAGTTAGCAATGATGGGCATCTTTTCATTTGCCTATTGGCCATCTGTATGTCTTCTTTAGAGAAATGTCTGTTTAGATCTTCTGCCCATTTTTGGACTGGGTTGTTTGTTTTTTTGTTACTGAGTTGCATGAATTGTTTGTATATTTTGGAAATTAAGCCCTTGTCCGTCTCATCATTTACAAATATTTTCTCCCATTCTGAGGGTTGTCTTTTTGTCTTGTTTATGGTTTTCTTTGCTGTATAGACGCTTGTAAGTTTGATTAGGTCCCATTTGTTTATTCTTGCTTTTATTTCTATTGCCTTGGGAGACTGACCTAAGAAAACATTGGTAGGATTTATGTCAGAATGTTTTGCCTATGATCTCTTCTAGGAGTTTTATGCTGTCATGTCTTACATTTAAGTCTTTAAGCCATTTTGAGTTTATTTTTGTGGACGGTGAGAGGGTGTGTTCTAAAGTTGTTGGGTTTTTTTATAGATTTATTTATTTATTTATTTTTGACTGTGTTGGGTCTTCGTTGCTGCGCACAGGCTTTCTTTAGTTGTGTCGAGCTGGGGCTACTCTTTTTTGTGGTGCGTGGGCTTCTCATTACGGTGGCTTCTTTTGTTGCAGAGCATGGGCTCTAGGCATGCGGGCTTCAGTAGTTGTGTCTCACAGGCTCTAGAGAGCAGGCTCGGTAGTTGTGGCGCACGGGCTTAGTTGCTCCATGGCATGTGGGATCTTCCCGGACCAGGACTTGAACCCATGTCCCCTGCATTGGCAGGCGGATTCTCAACCACTGCACCACCAAGGAAGCCCCTAAAGTTCTTTACTGACTTTCATTCCACAAGAAACTGTAAAAACCTAGAATTATATACATGAGCAAAGTAACAGAAAACATCTAAAACAATCCCCAACAACCACTGTTGGTATATATCTTTGGTGTATATCCTTTCAGATTCTTTTCTATGCATATATAAATATATCCTTTCTCACCAAAAGTGAAGTTATAATGTTTTTAGCTTACCATAATTTACTTAAGAAATCCACAAGTTGTTGAATACTTAGTGTGTTTTACCTAAACCCTGTATTCTGTATTATAAACAGTAATAATTAGCTTAAGATGAATTAAAAATTACAAAGTAAAAGGTGACCAAATTTCTGAAAAAAATGAACTAAAATACTTTAAAACATTAGAGGATTATAAAACCACCCTGGGGACATCCCTGGTGGTCCAGTGGTTAAGAATCCGCCTTCCAATGCAAGGGACTCGGGTTCGATCCCTGGTTGGGGAACTAAGATCCCACAGGCTGTGGGGGCAACTAAGCCCACGCACCACAAATAGAGCGCCCACGTGCCTCAACTAGAGAGCCCGCGTGCCGCAACTAAGACCCGATGCAGCCAAAAATAAAAAATAAATAAGTGAATTTAAAAAGTAAAATAAAATAAAGGCTCCTTGAGAGCATAGATGGTGTCTTATTCAAAAAGAAAAAAAAAAACATTACACCCTGGTCAGCCATATATTAGTAACTTTGCAAAAGTGACTGATGCTTATATTGCCAGACTACCTTGGGCCAATTTTTTACCCACTTAGATGTGGTTCTTGGACCTAAAGAGGACTTAAGTCTTACCCACAAACCTTTTTTTCAAAGCCCTTTTATAATTTTTTTTTAACAACTCCAGCACCTTGTTTCAACATACTCTACCCCTCCCCCCAGTCCTCTATTCCTGAGGGAGTATTTAACGATTAAATACTCCTCTACAGAAAATGTATTAAAATAGATAATGAAGTGGTTCCCTCAGGAATCACTGAGCTGGTGAGTAAGAAAAGGTCTGGCTTGAGCCACTGGATGAGAACAGTGCAGGTATATAGACAAAGTCAGTATGGGTCAGCTAATAAGAGGAATTTGGAACAGATCTCATGACTGTCTGGTTATCTTGAAATGGAAATTTTCATATTCCTTTGGGTGCTGAAAAAAAGGATTCCTGATTTAAGAGAGCTCCAGGCAAGTGCTTGGAAGACGTGAGCAAGCTGGTGCCCCAGCCCAAATGCATGGCTGCAATAGAGCAGTCAAGAAATAACATTGAACCAATAAGGGCGAAGCCTGCTTAAAGTTATTAGCAGGTGTGATTGTAGCTTATTTAGACAGGGTGAAAACATAGTTTGAAGAGTAGAATTTTATAGAACTTTTAAAAATCTCCAGCAAAATAGTTACTGCCTTATCAGTGCAACTGGCCTAAGCTAAGAGGGTTTTTGGTTTTTGTGATGCAGAAAGGAGAGTACCTTTCACCTCTAGTGTACCTGGGAGCAGGATTGGATATAGACCTTCAGAGTGGTAGCTGCAAAGTTAAGAACACAGCCTGAAGTCTCAAGAGTCACCATTTCGGGGCTAGATTTGGGCTGGTAACTGGGCTACACAGTGAGTCAAACCCACCCAAATCCAGAAGTCGACTAACCAAAACATGTGCAGTTAGATATGTTGATTAGCTGGATTTAGAACCAAGACAACTGAGAAACGTTCACTATAAACTCTTCCTTTTAAAGAGTTTGCGTAGTTTCTTTTTATTGGTTTCTATATATAAAGTCTTTTTTTCTTTTTCCTGTTTTCTGTTATTATTATTATTTTTTTTTTGCAGTACGTGGGCCTCTCACTGTTGTGGCCTCTCCCGTTGCGGAGCACAGGCTCCGGACGCGCAGGCCCAGCGGCCATGGCTCACGGGCCTAGCCGCTCCATGCATGTGGGATCTTCCCGGACCGGGGCACGAACCCGCGTCCCCTGCATCGGCAGGCGGACTCAACCACTACGCCACCAGGGAAGCCCTCTGTTATTTTTTTACTTGAAGTATAGTCGGTTTTTACAATATTATATTAGTTTCAGGTGTACAACGTAGTGATTCAATACCTTTACAGATTATATTCCCTTTAAAGTTATTACAAAATAATGGCTGTATTTCCCTGTACTGTACAATATACCCTTCTCATCTGAAATACCTCATTTAGACATCAGAATCTAAAGAGCTATCTAAGCAATTACCATCATGACCCAGGAATAGTTTCTGGAGTGTGCTAAATCTAAAATGTTTTTCATCCTTTTCCTGATTAACCTTTCCCCCTTTAAAATGTTCCTCAGTTCTATCTTTTTTATCAGTTTTATTGTGATATAATTGACACGTCATCTCTATTCTAATTTGATTTGTGGAGGCTCCAGTTTATCTCTGATCCCTGTTATTTTTCAGGACTTGTAGTAGAATGCCAACAAGAACGATCACAGATGAAAAATAAAGAAATAGCTTTGCGTGTGTTGAGAGCTAGACTCTACCAGCAGATTATTGAGAAAGACAAGTGTCAACAACAGAGTGTGAGAAAACTGCAGGTAAGATTTATTGAGTGAAATAACTTAATGCCTCTGTACAGAAAGCCATCATTTTATGCAGAAAATGGAGTAAATATTCTTAATAGAATGGAAATATCTTAGAGCACAGGAAAACATGCTCATTTGTAAATAGCAATAATTTAAGACTGACTGGTTATGGCTAAAGTTGGACATGCCAGTTTGGAAATAAGTAGAGGAGATATGTGTAAACTAAAAATTGTTTCCCAGTTGTTTCCCTCCAGTTGTAGATCATAATTGTCTTTAAAGGAAATTAGTGTAAAAGACAATTCTCTGGAAATTAAGAGATTTTTCAGATTTTTAATTTAAAAACCTATGCTTTTATTATTGTATAACTATTTTTTTTCCTACATTTAAAAAAAATTTTATTTATTTGGTTGGACCAAGTCTTAGTTGTGGCACATGGGCTTCTTAGTTGCAGCAGGCGGGCTCCTTAGTTGCGGCATGCATGTGGGATCTAGTTCCCTGACCAGGGATCAAACCCAGGCCTCCTGCATTGGGAGTGTGGAGTCTTATCCACTGCGCCACCAGGGAAGTCCCTATTTTTGTATAACTTTAAGTGGGATCAAAAATATATGGCACTGCAAAAAACTGGTAATACTGACTGCTTCTGATACAGTCTGGGAACCAGGAGTAGAAGAGAGATTAATTTTTTGCTGTATACCCTTTTGTACTTTTTGAATTTTGTACTATATACATTTGTATTATTATTTATACAAATATATAAATAGATAAGTTTTAAGCAAAATGAATAAATGTCATTGTCTTAAGTAAACAAAGGGTTGTATGATTTTAAACTCTAAAAAGGTAAACTTTTTCTTTGAGAGAAATTGGAAGAGATGGTGGAACGCAGAAATAACTGTGCTTTTGTGTTATTTGCAGGTAGTTATACTACGGTAAATTTGGAAGATTTTTGCGGCCTGTTAGGAAAATTAATTGTATAAAACTAAACATCAATTATTCTTTTCACCTAGATGTCCTAGTCCTTCACACTTTTGCCCTTCTTGTTTCCCTTACCCACATTCTAACTTGCAAGTAGTAAAAGTGACAGGATAAATAATTTATTAAGCCTCTATCTGTGGTAATCCCAGCCTGTGGCACAGCATCAGTATACACATTTGCAGATAGGAATGCTCATTTACAAAGCATTACTTCTTGGCAGCTAAGTGATAACATAAACACTGTCAGCTCTGCCACATTTGATTTAATAAAAGACATTGGGTTTTACTTGCCGTTTGACATTTTGGCATCAGATGTTTCACACAGTAATTTTCAAAGTAAGTATTCAATATCGGCCTTACGCCGATTGTGGGCACGTGTGTCGTCTTCAGTGGTCTGGTTTGAAAGGGCAGAAATGACCTCCGTGTCTCTCAATTAACTTGTCCATCTGTGTGAAATTTTTTAGTAGATATTTCTGACACCTAGGAGTTTTTCTTCAGCTAATATATACAGTAGCTTTTATATGGAAGGCATTATGCCAGGCTCTCAACCCTGGTTCCACTTACCACCTAGAGAGCTTTGTAGATGTCTAGGCCCCATCCCCAGAGATTCTGATATAATTGATCTGGGTGGGATCCTAGGCATAACTGTGGTGCCTTGGGATAGTAGTTTCCAAACCTGGCTGGTTGCAGAATGGATGGCCTGGGGACTGTTTTAAAAATACATAATCCATGATTCAGTATATCTTAGGTTAGGTTTTGGAATCTTTCATTTAAAAACATTCCCCTGGTGATCAGCCATACTTAGGACTTCAGTTTCATATTGTTTGCTTTAGAAAGTAAGTTATAGCAATCTTTTTCTTTTATCTGAAAAAGTGAAAGTGAGATACCTGTAACTTATATAATATTGTAGCAACTATGCTTCGATGAAAATAAATAATAAAATAAATTTTAAAATAAAAAGTGAAATAGATAACTAATAAGAACCTGCTGTATAAAAATAAATAAATAAAATTCAAAAAAAGGTAAAAAAATAAAAAGTGAAAGTGAGTGAGAGAGGGTGTTGTGTGCATTGTATGTGGGGGGAGGGAGGGCAGATGAGCAGACTAAGAATACAAATAACCATAGCAAAAGGCAAACTGGTGTGCGGTGAAGAAGATTCCAAGTACATGGGGTTTTGAAGGAGGAAGATAACATATTTCACATTGGGACCAGGAAAGACAGAGATGGTAGGAGAGTGTTAAGGAAGGGCACCCCTTGAGATGAGGTTTAAGCAGAGTTAACAGACTTGCACATAATTATGATATGGTATAATAAGTGGCATTATAGAGGTTCATATAATTTTCAGAAATAATGTTGAGAAAGTTGGCCACATTGTGAAGTACCTTGAATACTGAGTTGAGTTGTGTCTGCCTAGTAGACAAGAAGGAGCCAAAGAAGGAAATGTATCAGAAAACTGGGCTTTAGGAAAGCTAAGCAGGGCAACACAATGTAAGCAGAGAAATGGAAGATTAATCAGGAGATTTTTACAGGAGTGTAATGAAAGTAATGAGCCCTTGAATGATAGACAGTAGAAATGGAAAGGGCAGGATAGAATAAAAGACCCTTGAAACCACTGGAATTGGGCAGTTAGAGAACGGGATGAGCTGAAGTTCCTTTCACGGTCTGTATCACAGCCTGGCAGATAGTAAGCTACCATGAAATGTTTGTTAAAGTGTAGGATGTCAGGTTTCCTGCTTAGATCAAAGGGAACATCATTGTAGGGTCATTTATAGAAACCAGCAGGAAGAACTGACCGAGGTAGAAAGATAATTTGGTTTTAAATATTTGGAGTTTGAGGTACCAAAGAGATGTTAATTCTTATAACTAAGCTTTACAGACCTGTAGTCTTAATAAGTTCTGCCCATTCTTATTCCTTGTCACTTTGTGTATATGAATTTAGAAAAGATTTAAACTGTTAAAATAGAAAAGTCATTTACAAGCACTGTTTCTGTTGTAATAAAGTAATTATAAAGTTAAAATATGAATTGCTTTTTGTTATGACACAGGTGGGAACAAGAGCCCAGTCAGAGAGAATTCGGACATATAATTTCACCCAGGATAGAGTCACTGACCACAGGATAGCATATGAAGTTCGTAATATTAAGGTAATATGAATGAGTATGCTTTATGTGCCTTTGATTTTCAAAGAAAGTATAGTCGAATTCTAGAGAGTAATCTCTGAAATATTACCACGTAATTTAAAAACATTGAGATAGATTATATTAGTACCCCAAATTTGTGAACATTTTTATTAGTTTGCTAGTAAGAAATATGGTCTTTATGCCAGTATGAAACAGCTATCTTTTAAATTCCAAATTCTTTGTTATGTAATCACAATGTATTAGTGTATTTTCAGTACATGTCTATCAGTTTTCTATTACCGATTACCAAATTACTGCAAATTTAGTGGCTTAAAGTAATGCCTATTTATTATCTCACAGTTACTGTAGGACAGAAAGCCAGGCACGACAGAGCTGAGTTCTCTGCTCTGGGTCTCCCAAAGCTGAAAGGTGCTGGCCAGGCTGCATGCTTTCCTAGAGCTTGGAGTCCTCTTCCAAGCTCAGGTGGTTGTCGGCAGTATTCCATTTCCTTGAGTTGTAGGAGTGAAGCCTCCATTTTTTTGCTGGTCATCAGCTAGGTGCTGCTCTCAGCTCCCAAAGACTGACCACAGTTGCTTGCTGTCTAGTCCCCTTCGTGTGCCCTGTCCCATTGCATCTCTTGCGGGAATGGCCTTTTTAAGGGCTCACCTGTTTAGGTCAGGCCTACCTGGATACTATTCCTTTTGATTAACTCAGAGTCAACTAATTAGCCATCTAATCACTGGAGTGATAGTCCAGCATATTCACAGCTCTGCCTGCACTTAAGGGAGGGAATTTTGCCAGGTGTGTACACCAGGGGGCATCTTAGAATTCTGCCTACCACAATGTGTGTCATTATATTCAGGTGTTACAATGATTCTGTTGGGGGGGAAAAGACCCTGTCAGTTTGGTTTGAACATTCACCTAACTAAATCCCATGTCGTTGGGATCACTGACAGTAATACATTAATGATGAAGCACAGAAAAATTATTTTTCCTTCCATTGAAGGGGAAAGTGAACTGGTTCCCATAAAGGACTGTGTGGACAAGGCAGAAGGTAGAAGGTTTTGATCCTTGTCCTTGGTGCTGTGTGATACCTCGGGCTTCTTTCACTTGATTCTGTCTCACTCTGTACACAAAAGTAAAGTCCTAGTTTTACAGAGGAAATGTCTGTGTTTTTAACATACTTAGAAATTTCTGTGTTATCTTATGCCACTTCCTCTGTCTTTGCAGCAATTTAAAGCTGTCTTGCATAAGAACATCATAGCCTTGTTGAAAAAGAAAATATTCAGTAGCTTCCCTTTCCTCAGGAAACACACAGTAATAACCAAACATGTTTGGCCATACTGTTCTAATTACACCATAGTCTTTCAGTTGTTTTTCTCGTAGTGGTGATGGTTTTCCATGAGACAGCCACATTCTCATGACCAGTAATACTTTTCAGAAGAGCACATAGGTGCTTAGCATAGTATTCAGTCATGAAACAGAGGCAGATCAACTGGCTTTTATAGTTATAAAATATATGACGCTGGCCTAAATACTAACACGTTATTACTAACTAAACTAGCATGCCAGACTCAGAAAGAGTAAGGATGGTCATATCGGTATGCTCTACAAATCACTAATCAACTTATTGGAAAGAAAGAAAATGCTCCATATTAGTGAAGGGAAAAGTTTTAAAATGGTATAAAAAAACGTTGCAGTGAAACATTAAAATCTGTATGCAGGACAGGAAAGAGACTAGTCAGACTGAATAATTTAGGAACTGAAGAGTTGCAGATGAGGCAGGAAAAGTGATGAAGGCCTTAACTCCAGGACAGCCACCACAGGACAGAATGGAAGGAGTGGAGAGGAAAGAAAGTGGGTGCCTGTGGGACTCTGCTCAGCTCTCCTCCCTTATTCTAGAACCTGGCCTTCTCCCTACTCTGTCAGTTTGGTTTGAACATTCACCTAACTAAATCCCATGTCGTCGGGATCACTGACAGTAATAGGTTAATGACGTATTACATATTAATAACGTAATACCTGGCCTTCTCCCTACTGCGTCCACATAGTTCCTGACAGAGCTGCTATGTTCCTACATGATCATGATTTTGACCCAAGACAATAATTGATTTGTTGTGGGGGGGAAATCCAAACAAGCCCCAGTCAATGAGTTTCTTCCCAGGATTTTTAAACTAGAGACAAAGATGCTCATTCTCTTGGTGGATGAAGCTGAAATATGTAAAGCTTACAAGAGGTTAGAAGCCACATTTCCAGCCATGGGGAGAAAGCAGTCTTCAGTGAGAGAAGAATGAAGCTGATATATTGAAAGGAGCAAAAATGGGAGAACTGGATGCAAAGAATCCTGATGATGTGAATCCCCACGTTCATTTATTCCTGAGGCCCAGCTTCACTCCCAGGGTGGTGGCAGCAGCCCTGTACATTCCTGCCCTTGGGTTCTCTGAGGTCACTCAGTATGCTTATTATGAATTCCCTTGTAGCTAATTTTACTTGTATTTGTATTTATCTAGATAATAAGCACAGACTACCATGTAATATATTATTTTGTATTTTTATTCTGTTTCCCAAAGTTCTTGTGCAGATTCCTTAGCATCAGCCTATCTCCTGCCCTGTATACCAATTACACTGGAAATTTACCCTTGTCCTGGGCTTTCAATGTATTTTGTTTCCATACCTTTCTTCATATTCATTCTTTTGACTGAAATGCTCTGTTTGTCTCTATTTGGAGAAATACTATTCTCTTTTTAAGACCTAATCCAAATTTTTCTTCCTTTATTTTTTAATTTCTTGCACTGTGTTATGCTTATGTATTACCTAGGTCTCCCAGTAGATTGTGAGCTTCTGAAAGCTGGGAGCTACAGCTCCTTCATATATTTTTTTAAATTTTTGGCTGCATTGGGTCTTCATTGCTGTGCACGGGCTTTCTCTAGTTGTGGCAAGCGGGGGCTACTCTTCATTGCTGTGTGCGGGCTTCTCTTTGCAGTGGCTTCTCTTGTTGCAGAGCACGGGCCCTAGGCACGTGGGCTTCAGTAGTTGTAGCACGCAGGCTCAGTAGTTGTGGCTTGTGGGCTCTAGAGCGCTGGCTCAGTAGTTGTGGTGCACGGGCTTAGTTGCTCTGGGGCATGTGGGATCTTCCTGGACCAGGGATAGAACCCGTGTCCCCTGCATTGGCAGGTGGATTCTTAACCACTGCGCCACCAGGGAAGCCCCAGCTCCTTCATCTTTGATCTTTGTATCGCTAGCACTCTGGTTAATCCAACTGAACTCTAAATGTGATGTGATTATCAATAAGAGTAATAATCCTTTTAACATAACTTCCAGGTGGTGAAGTCACATTGGCAATATCATAATAATTTGAGCTTACAGGCACACTAATTTTAAAAGCAATTTTCATATTATGTTCAAAATGGTATAAATCTTAATTTTAAAATTTCATCATAGTGCTCTTGCTTTCTGTTTAATTTTAAAGTTTAATCGACATCTTACTATATGCTGGTGTTTTGTGGAATACAAAGATAGTAAGGCATATCTTTTCCCCTACAGTTTAATTTGAAAGAGAAATGTGTACACTTAACCTGAAATTTAACTTAAAGACCATTCAAGAAAGACTAAATATAAGATTAGTTCATGCCTACATCTAAACTTCAAATGTTCTATGTTCCAGAGGCCAACATTAAAGTATTTCTATTAAGCCAATGTCTGGATTTTTAGCATTTCCAAAATAGGAGGCTGTGCTAATTCACTAATCCCAACAACTCTATTACACAGAACCTTTATAACACAAGAAAGGTACCTGACGTCATTATTTTACTCGTTTCTCAGAGAGAAGCCTCAGGGAAGACTGCAGGGAAGTCTTAACTGAAACAGTTTCCACCCAATGGAGTTATTTGGAGGTTAACATGAGAGAGGTTTTTTCCTCAGTTTTTTATTTTGAAATGTTAAGCACACATGTTTAAAGACTAGTCCATATATATATATACCCTATACCTAGATGCAACAGTTGTGAACATTTTGTTATGTTTGCCTTCTCTTTCTCCTCCACTTCCCCTTTCTCTCTATAGATACACCTGTGTTGCTACTGAACCATTGGAAAGCAAGTTGCAAACCTCAAGACACTTGTCCCCGAAATATTTCAGTATAAATATTTTTCAATTACACAGGACTTGTAGATATTAAAACCACTGTATTTCTAATTTAAGAAAAAACAGAACTATTATAAACCACTTACGGATTAAATAATTTGAATTTGGATGGTTGGCTAATTTAAAAATGCTAATTTAAACAATTTAAGTAAGAGTTTAATTCCATTTACTCTTTTGGATTCACGTTTTACATAAAAAGGCAAAATTAGCTAGGGATCCTCCCAAGTTAGCAATTGTGTTCATTATACTGTAGATTAGTAATCTTTTGTTGCTATTAAATAATGACTTTAAAGAAATGAAATAAATATATGCTTAATTCTTTGTTTTGTTTCTCCTTTATTTCTAGTAATCAGGTTTTCATAGTAACTCTCTTTCACCAGGAATTTTTATGTGGGGAGAAGTGCCTGGATCAGCTAATTCAGAGATTGCTTCAATCAGCGGATGAAGAAACCATTAATGAATTTTTGGATGAAAATCTTAAATCAGCAAAATAAATACTGATTTATAATTTATTATTATATAAATGAAATGGACCTATGTCAAGAAGCAGACCGAGGTAGGGAAATCTTTATGAAAGTTGATAAAGAGCAGCTAAAAATACATGGTACTCACAAAAATATTTTTTAATGAATCCAGTCACATTTCTTGACCTAAGTTTATTTTAGGTTTCCTGTAAAGTACAATCCAGGTCTTCAAGTAGAAACAAAGCATGCATTGTTGAAAAGAGAAATAAAGTATTGAGAATTGACTATGTGATGTAGGACAGATCACTTGTTCTCTTTATATGCCTTTTCTTTTAACCATCTATAAATTAATTTAGACACATTTCACATCTGTTACTTCAGGACTTTGCCCGTGGTAAAATTTAGTGATATAAATTTATAAACTTGTTTGTAAACTCCTATTTAAAGACAAAGTACTATTAATCATGTTAAAGTTAGGACTTAAACTGCTACTTTTATTTTTGATTTTTTTTTTTTTTTTTTTTTTGCGGTACGCAGGCCTCTCACTGTTGCGGCCTCTCCCGTTGCGGAGCACAGGCTCCGGACACGCAGGCTCAGCGGCCATGGCTCACGGGCCCAGCTGCTCCGCGGCATGTGGGATCTTCCCAGACCGGGGCATGAACCCGTGTCCCCTGCATTGGCAGGTGGACTCTCAACCACTGTGCCACCAGGGAAGCCCTAAACTGCTACTTTTAAATAAAAAAGTAAATAAAAGTTGTGAAGAATATGAGTTGCTAACTGTGAGCATCTCTAGGATATAGATGGTAGAGCTCTTGGAGAGCTGAGTGAACTCTGTAGTGTACAGACTACAAGTCAATATTTAAAGCAGACTCTCTGCTTGGCTTCTATTTCTAATTGTTCTTTGACTTAACAAGCATCAACAGATGTGGTGTAATATGAGTAATTCACTGAGGTCGGTTTTGTGCCGTGATATATAAAACCTCGTCCTTACCTTACAGAACTTCCAGCTGAGCAGGGAGCCGAAATATAAGTCCCCAACTCTAATTCAAAGTGGCATGTTGTATTTAGTAATTTTTCTCGGGAAGTTTCTTGAGTGAAAAAGAGAGCGGTTGTTATTTTAGATAGTTCCTCAGAGAGGAACTGTATGCCAGGAAAGGCTAATTAAAATAGAGTTTTAAGACCAATTGAATGATTTGGAGGTAAAGATGAGAGAAATTTTTTCCCAAATTTTTATTTTGAAAATTTTCAAGCACACAGAAAAGTTTTAAAAATAATTTTTAAGAAACAGTTCAATGAATATTTTATCATCTAGATTCAACCATTGTTAATATTTTGCCACATTAGCTTTTCTTCTTTCTCTGTACACACACACACACACACACACACACACACACACACACAGTGGTTGCTGGACTATTTAAAAGTTAGTTGCAGATCTTATAACACTACTGAATGTTTTATCACATCCTAGGAAAAAGGACATTCTCATACAAAATTATAACTCCATTATCACACCGATTGTATATCAATAATAATATAATGATTATATAATATGATCTAATAGCTATTACATATCAGAATTTCTTCAGTTATCCCCAAAATATCATTTTTTTAGCTGTTTTTGTTTGTTTTGTCCAATCCAGGATCCAACCAAGACTTACACATTACATTTGCCAGTATCTCTTTAGTTTTTGGATTAATCCCCCAAGTTTTTTTCCATATGACATTGACCTTTTGAAGAGTCCCACAAGGTTGTTTTGTAGAATAGTCTACATTCTAAATTTGCCTGGCTTGCCCTTAATGTACTATAAAGTAAAATTATGTCTAAAGATTAATTAAATTCAGATTAAACACATTTGGTAAGACTACTTCACAGGTGATGTTGTGATACTGTATCATATCAGGAAGTTCCACTATTAGTGATACTAAGTTTGAAACCTGTCAAATCTCTCCATTGTAATGGTACATGCTCTCCTTAATAATCAGTATGTAATCTGTGAGGTAGTACTTTAGCATCATATAAACATTTGATTTCTCATTGTGCAAGACAGCTTCTGAAATGACCCCAGTGACCCTGTTCCTGGCATTTCATGCACTTGTATAATCTCCCCTTGAATGTGGACCAGATTTATTGACTCTTTACTAACAAATAGAATACAATAGAAGTGGTGGGATTGTCACTTTTGATATTAGGTTGTAAAAAGACTTGCTTCTGGCTCTGTCACTGTCTTTTTTTTTTTAATATAAATTTATTTATTTATTTATTTATTTATGGCTGCGTTGGGTCTTTGTTGCTGCGTGCGGGCTTTCTCTAGTTGCGGCGAGCAGGGGCTACTCTTCTTTGCAGTGTGTGGGCTTCTCATTGTGGTGGCTTCTCTTGTTGCCGAGGCTTCAGTAGTTGTGGCACATGGGCTCAGTAGTTGTGGCTCGTGGGCTCTAGAGCGCAGGCTCAGTAGTTGTGGCGCACGGGCTTAGCTGCTCTGCGGCATGTGGGATCTTCCTGGGCCAGGGCTCGAACCCATGTCCCCTGCGTTGGCAGGTGGATTCTCAACCACTGTGCCACCAGGGAAGTCCCTTAGCTGGAATTTTTTTTTTTTCAATTTTTATTGCAGTACAGTTGATTCACACTGTTGTGTTAGTTTCAGGTGTACAGCAAAGTGAATCAGTTATACATATCCATATATCCACTCTTTTTTTTTAGATTCCTTTCCCATATAGGCCATTACAGAGTATTGAGTAGAGTTCAGCTGGCATTCTTTAAAGAAAGCTTTCCTTTGTCTTTCCTCTCACTTTCTCTGAGTTGAGAGATAATTTAATCCTATTTGAATCAATATCATGATTCATGATTTCCCTAGGGGTAGGCATTCCCCCCCCCCTCGGGCCCCCCCCCAATAATGATGTGTCTGGAGAATCTGCTTTAATTTGAAAGAATGTTGAATAGGGAGTTTGAGGGTTAAAGTTAGAAACACAGAAACTGATTTTTGTTTTCAGGCATTTTATGTAACAGAGAAACGTTTATCCAAGGAAATGTAAATATTAAAACATTGTGTGAAACAAGGCAAAATGAAGATAGTCTAACTTAATGTATTTCCCAAACCTCTGTATTTATCCAGATCATTTGGGAAACTTGCCATAATACAGATTCTGATTTAGTAGGTCTGGAGCCTGTGATTCTGCATTTCCAGCAAGCTCCCAGGTGATGATGGATGATGTTGATAAGCCACAAACACCACTTGGAGTAGCAAGGATCTAGGACATCTGTTATTTAATTAATGAGTACTTTCAGTTGTTATACACTTTATTTTTGTACAGTGAGATTCAGTTAAACTCATAATCTTGCTTTATTCAGATAGACCTTTAGTCTCCTAAACTACAAAGATAAACTTGACATTTTTAACTTTAGTAGAAAAATATTAGGAATGAATATATAAGCCAAAGATAAATCAGGGTTCTTGTAAAGAATCTGGAAAGCCAAAGTTTATTGCCTCATATGCACAACACCTTTAGAATATTAAGGAGTAACAAACTTTATTTAAAAAATAAACCTTAGAGAGATTTTAAAATTGAATTTGAAATTGAGTCAAGGGACCTCGGATCACAAACTACTACAGTCAACTAAAAATTAAAAGAAAATATTTTTAAAATCATAGACTCTAGTGTTGGGGGCAACAGTGATTAGGAAGACATGTGTTGGCAGGGGTGGAGCTTTTGGGATGCTGGTAATGTTCTATATCTGGACCTGAGTGGAAGTTACAAGGGTGTATTCATTTTGTGATAATTGCATTTACAATTGAGTTAACTGAGTTTTGTATGCAACTGACAATTGCATACACCCTTGTAACTGCCAGCCCATTCAAGAAGAGAACATTTCCACTGCCTCTGAAAGTTTCCTTGTGCTCCTTTCCAGTCAATCCAGTAATCTGCCAACTCCCCATCCCCCAACAGTGGCAACCTCTATTACGATCTTTATTCACCATAGCTTATTTTACTGTTCTGGAACTTCACATCAATGGTCATTCAGTATGTACTCCTGTATATCTGGCTTCTTTGTTCAAAAGTTTTGATACTCATTTACAATATTGCAGGTATCAAGGGTTGTTTCGCTTTTATTTCTAAGTAGTATCACACGGTATGAATATACCACAATTCATTTTATTCATTCTTCTATTGATGCACATTTGGATTATTCCCAGTTTCGGCTATTATGGATAAAGCTACTATGAACATCCTTGCACAGGTCTTTTTGTAGACATGTTTTAATTTCCCTTGGGCAAATGCCTAGGAGTGAAATTGTTGGGCATTTAACATTCAAAGAAACTACCAAACAGTTTTTCAAAGTGGATATATCCATTTATAGTCATAGTATTAACATATGAGGTTTCCAATGGCTCCCTGTCATCACCAGCATTTAGTATTGTTGATCTGTTTAAGTTTTGCCATTTTCGTGGGTATGCAGTGTTTTCTCATTGTGACTTAAATTTGCATTCATCTGATGATGAACGACATGGAGCAGCTTTTCATATGTTTATGGGGTGTATGTATTACGAATATTTTTTCCTAGTCTCTGGCTTGCCTTTTTTTTTTTTTTTTGCGGTACACGGGCCTCTCACTGCTGTGGCCTCTCCCGTTGCGGAGCACAGGCTCCAGACGCGCAGGCTCAGCGGCCATGGCTCACGGGCCCAGCCGCTCCGCGGCATGTGGGATCTTCCCGGACCGGGGCTCGAACTCGTTTCCCCTGCATCGGCAGGCGGACCCTCAACCACTGCACCACCAGGGAAGCCCTGGCTTGCCTTTTTATTTTGTTTTCACTGCTTTTTTGATGGGCAAAAGCTTGTAATCTTGTTGAAGTTCATTTTATCAATTTTTTAAAAAAGATTACTTTTTTTTTTGTGGCCTAAGAAATCTGCCTACCTCAAAGTTACAGAGATAGGTTTATGTTTTCTTTTAGCAGGTTTATCATTTTCCCTTTTCTATTTAAGTTTTCAATTTAATATTAAGACCCATCTCAATTTAATTTTAGTTTATGGTATGAGGCAGGGGTCAAGATTGTTTTTTGTTTCACATTGTGATCCAGTTGTTCCAACACCATTTGTTGAGAAGACTTTCCTTTCGCCACTGAATTTCACTGATAACAATGCGGTGTTTCTAAATTTAAAAATTCAGTTCCTTGGGCCACTGGCCACATTTCAAGTACTCAAGAACTACAGGCGGCTCTGGATACTGGATGAGTCAGGGCAGACATAAAATAGTTACAACATTGCACAAAGATTTGTGATAGCACTAT